AAGCAGTGGTATCAACGCAGAGTACTAAGAGAGCTCGCTGCTTGGCATAGTGTCAGTGTCGTGCTTTGCCAAACCAGGTTGTCGGTGGATTTTTTATTGTCAGACTGATGTTTCGGCGTGTTGGCTCGCCTTCTTCAGAGGTTTGAACGAAGGTCATAGGTTTTTTGACCTGATCAGTATATCGCCAAGTGCTCCGTCCCATCCTGTTTATCTAGACCTGTCTGAGGCTAGCGCCGCGAAACTCTGAGACTGTGAAACGAATCGACTCCACCGCATGTTAGTAAGTCCGCACAACTGCAAACCCGGTTTGGCAAAGCACGACACTGATACTATAGGACACCTTCCCAGCTCATTCAAACAGCGGCTATATTAGCCGTCTCTAACGAACGCACGTCTCTGCTGAATGCAGAGATCATTTATCATCGTGAACCAATCTGCTGCACAAGGTGTTGTACCTTCTTAAAAAAGTTCTCGTCTCAAACGCTTCTCCAACTGTCAACCTACTTCCTTTCTTGCAGGTTCCTTTCTTATAACTCCAGCTGTTGTCCAAAACAGGGCAGTGAAATTATATGCCTTCTTTGGAACCGATCCTCACGCAGCTCTGTGATACACCGATTGGGCCCGGAATTGCAGTTTGGTAACACCAAGGTAAAAAAATTTGCCACGAGAAGTCTAAAGAGTTCTCAAGTTCTGAATTATTGGATACTCGTGTTTTAGTCCTAAGCTTCTTGAAATGACGTATATCGATCTCCGCATCTCTTTGATCGAGATCATGTACAGCATGATCCAGCTCGGCATAATTCAAAAAACATCCGGATATGAGAAATGGATGAGCAAAGCAAGACAACAAGTGGCAACTGTGGCCTCAGAATAATCTTTGAATGCATTTTTGATCTAATTTATATGGGTTTTTATAGGACCGAGGAAATGTACAGTGCTATGGTGGTATGGAAAGTTCCCGGGCACTTGCGAAGATTTTTTTCGAATCGCTGTAACTTTAGGCAGATTGATTCTTTTCTGAGGCTACAAACTTCGTTGCAAAGATGATATTGTCCACAACATACATTTGTCTTGCTGGCTTCTCGGCACCTCGCTGCGGTCCACCAACATGCGCAGAAGGGAAAAAGCTCGTCGCGAAAAGTGGTCTATTTGTGCGGGATTATCTCAGACAGGATGAGAGCTAGAAAGCCCAGATGCTGTAATTGTATAGAGGCCTGTTGTTGCTGTTATGGGGACCATTCATGTTTTTGAAGGACCAGCTGCAAAAAAATATTTCTCAGAAAATTTGAAACGACCATTTTTTGCCCCCGGAAATGCACCACTTTTCGAGTAAATGACCTCTTCTATTTCTGCACAGATCATCCAGCCGTGGCGATCCCCGCAGATGCGACGCCAGCTGCGAAAAGAGTTGCAGTCAGAGGCAAGTCCGACAGCTTGTAATTTCTAGGCGCAAATCGCAAAACTCGAGTGCAGTTTCAGGTCAGAAGTTAACAGGCTTCCCAATCAGATCACCTATGATTTGGACGAAAATTCTTTGAAATGCACAAAAAAATGGCCGTAAAAAGAAAAATTGTGAAATTTTTGTGGTTGAAACGATTTCCCTTCTTGAAGTGCAGATCAAACACGTCTTGGCATCGATAAAAGTCAGAAGGTGCATTGAAAACTTCAGGCTTCCCTTTACTGAATAGTATAAAGGACTTGGTGTCCAAGTCCGACCGAGCGCCGGAAAAATGCGTTTGAAAATGAAATTTTCAAAAGTGCCCGGGAACTTTCTTTACAGCCCAATACTTTGTATGTCTTTTCGTTTCGTTTCAATAATAATAATTTTCATTTCATAATAATGCACTTGTAAAAATTCTCAAACATGTTGATGAATAGCATCAATATGTACACATACCGTATACAAATGTGCAGCAACTTTTTTTCTCGTAGAATTCTATCTTTGCCTTAGAGGAGGCTGTCGTCGTTAAGCGAAAAAGAAAGATTTTTAACCTCAGTCAAAATTTCCATATATAGGATGTAGAGCAAAGAATATTATAATGTAAAAAACAGAAAATATTCCTCTGTTTTCTTTAAGTCACACTCGTGACCGTGCTCGAGGCTACCTCGCTTAAAAAAAGTCCGCCACCCCTTCAACTCGCATACTTATTCGTAACTGTTCATGTACCCTAGCTCCCCATTGCACCCATAAAATTTTGGTGCCATTTGCCTGTTTATTGTAAGCAAGCCTCTTGTTTACGTTGAGGCAAAAATTTGACCCTCGCTTGCGTGAAAAAAGCACAAGTTTGTTTCATGGATGGGCGCGAAGTATTAGGCTAACTTTACTCTCTTTGGATGTGGCGCTTTCAAAGTTTGGCAATGTATAGAGCGCAATGTGTGCTATAACTGCGCACAAATGTTTGGAATTTGAATACGAATTGAAAAGTTCCAGACATCTTTCAAAAATTAGTGATTTTCGAGAATTTTCGGGATCAAAAGCCGAAATGAAGCCGTTAGCAGCCTATACTATGCGCGATAATCTGGTTTCGTGTAAGAATCATTGTTAGAGGTTGTCTTGTTCAGATCAGCAAGAAAGAAATAAATTTTAATAATATGTCGAAAATTGGCGGAATCGTTGAGAGAGTCCGCTATACGCAAGGGTGCTGGGGACAGCCGTCAATGACCAAGGCGTCAGAAGCTCAAAATTCGCCGAGACTACATGTAGTGAGGTTATTTGACCTACCAAACACGACTATCATATTCATTTGTTGAATTAAAGCCCCTTCCCTTGCTTAAGATAAGACCCTACATCGTAAACCTACAGTAATCTAACAAAAAACGCCATATCACGCAACTTCAATATCGTTTTCGTCAGCATGTACGATAACCTCACTATGCCAAGTTTCAGCAAAATCTGTCAATTTTTAGAATTTTCTCCCTTGTACCATAAACCTAAACTAACTCTCACTGGGACGTCAGATTTTGGCAGAACAGCAGCTGCTCTTGTAGGTTACGTCATAGCCTATACAATGACATAATTTGAGGTGCGTCATGTTGAGATTGAAGAGAGTTATCGAATGAGTTGCAAAACTTAGTTTCCAATCTAATATTAAGGTCCTTCAAAAAATATTCTACACGGCCATTTCATGCCCTATTTTTTGTTAGTAAATCAGAGTCCCTGCAAAAAATACACATCCTCTTCGCTTTTTGTTCAAAACGATATCCAGCCTGTTGTTTTGCAATTGTGCCAAGCACTGATTCTGGAAGGGTGCGAAATGATCATTATTTGGCGCAGGTAAAGCAAAAGGCAAATCGGCAACTTTTCTTCGCCGTACCGAACGTTAGTATTCCTTAGCAAAAAATGCGTTTTCGATTGTAGATACGTTTCGGATAGACGACTTTGCCGTAAATGGTCTTCGCATGCGCGGACATCTGTCACAAACCATGCATCAGTTACTGTCCCTGCCAGGAGGTCTTGGACGCAGTGAGTTTTGCCGACAATGCCTTTGAATTCAGAAAGGATCGTTATCGATGGCATCAACACATTAACCGCAACGATTTTTTCAAAACGATATCCAGCCTGTTGTTTTGCAATTGTGCATAGGATTAACGGAATACGAATGAGTAGAGCCCACATTCTTCACATGATTCTCTCTGCAGGAACAAACACCATATGCGAAAATTTATTGCCTTCTTCTGTTCATGGTTTTGTTTGAATCAAACGTGAACAATAAGAACAGCAAGTAATCTATCAATATAGGTCGTCTTAGGGGGCGGGGGCGGGGGTGGTGGTGGTGGTGGTGGTGGTGGTGGTGGTGGTGGTGGTGGTGGTGGGGGTGGTGGTGGTGGTTGGGGTGGTGGTGGTGGTGGTGGTGGTGGGGGTGGTGGTGGTGGTGGTGGGGGTGGTGGTGGTGGTGGGGGGTGGTGGTGGTGGTGGTGGTGGTGGGGGTGGTGGTGGTGGTTGGGGTGGTGGTGGTGGTGGTGGTGGTGGGGGTGGTGGTGGTGGTGGGGGTGGTGGTGGTGGTGGGGGTGGTGGTGGTGGTGCTTGGCGGTGGTGCCTCACATAGCACTCCATCTACGCATGAATCTGGGCAAGAGCTGCAAGGCTTTCCTGGTTTGTAAATTTGCTCCTCAAATTGCACATCGCTGCAAAAATATCATTTGAATATGATATTCACTATTTTGGAGGCATTGGACTCAATTTCGACAGTTCCTACAAGGTGGTTCAATAATACGCTATAGCTGAATAACCTTGGAGCATATCGACATACAACAGCGTAGAAACTACTGCATTTGTGTACGGCACACCCAATCTTAGATGTTGTAGCCCAGGCCATCTAAAATTAGAACGTTTTGTGAATGTGTTCGCCGTTCATTGAGGTCGGCTATACCTAAAGCGATTCCGCTAACTCGCTTTTGCCACGCTAATTGCTAATCCTCCGTACGTCTTAACATGTTGACGACGAGCTGTTTTTTTTTTGACGTCTGTCCCTGTGGACGAACCGTTTTCGGGCATTTTCGCAGCCGGCTGCATGTATGCATGTATGCATCTATGCGTGAGGTACAAAAATGCAAGTGGGCAGGGTAGCTCCGCCCACTTTTGGCAAACCCTGCCCACTTTTCAAAAATGCTGAAATTGCTCAAAATCAATGAATTCGTGCAAATTCCGCCATTTTTGAAAAGTGGGCGGAGCTTGCCACTTAGGGGTGGGGCTGCATAGTGGAGGGCTGGGTCAAAATTAAGATCATTTAAGGTTTCCCAGTCATCTACGAGCTTTTCTATGCAATTTGAGAACGCAATTTTTGTAAGGGCAACGGAGTGGGCGGAGTTTGCCGAAAGAGGGCGGGGCCAACATGAAAAACTTCTGAGCCTAAACTGCTTATATGAACACAAATTGGAACCATTGTGCACATTAGAACTGGTATTTAGGGTGTCGCGCACCATTGCGCGACATCGTCCACAGGGACAGACTGCCTGTCGCGCACCATTGCGCGACACTGTCGTCAACGTGTTAAAATCCCGACGCAAAGATTTCAAATACAAACGCATGGCTTTGTTAGGCTGATGCAAATATAGAAGCTGTTGCTTGTGTAAATGCGTACTAAGAATCAAAGGCTACTGCCGGACGAAATCTTAGAGGCGCGACCTTAATCCCGAACCGTAGGACATGCAGATTTACAGCGCTACGGCAATACGCTCGCGTCGCGTTCGCGCCTGCTCAACTAAAACTGTCTTTACTTTCTTCGTTCGTAACTAAGTTTTAGAACATTCTTAGCAACACAAAATTGTGTGGCAAGCGAAATCGAGCAAGTATGACCGTCGCCTCAACAGTACGAGTTCTAGATAGATGTATAGTTAGTAGAATTACAAAAAATAAGCAAAATATACCCTAACAAATTCGGCAGAAGGAGTGTGTATAGTCCTGTAATAAACTTTATTGCCAATGTTTGGTCCAGTTCTGGATTGCTTCCACCATGATGTTACACCCTAGAATGCTTTACTAGTCGTCAATGCTACCTCTGAGACCATATCTTACATTGTGGATGGCTGTCAGTTTATCAGGGGCGGATGATAAAGCGACTTGTGCAGTATTTTCGCCAACGCCGGAACCAAGGGCAATTTTCGTTTTGAAACAACCTATTGCCCGATCAATAGCGCGTTCTTCTAAGTCGCAATCGTATGTCTGAAATCGCTTCAGCTTACATAAGCTAATTATTGTTTGAGCTGTGCCTATTTCATGATGGTTTTCAAGGTGAAGCCAAATAATCTCTAAGAAGTAAAGATATGAGGAAAAGTTCACCAGCTTTCGAATGTTAGCACCCTGTGGCATATAGTTTCCATTGCCCTTTACGACCTCTCCTTTTGCTAACATTGCCCTTAAAGAAGTAGTCAAATGACATTGTCGTTCAGTGACTAAAACAGTACTCCATACCTTCTATAGTTGTGCATGTCTAAAAATTTGGCCACCTGATGATCCTTCATTTTATCGCTTTTGGAACATATTGTATGCGCATAGGTGATGGTAGGTAGTAGCTGAAAGTGACCATAAAACAGTGGGGATTTGAGGGGTTAAAGGCATCCATCCAGATTTTCGACTTCCAGGTTTTTGTCGTTTCAGAGCCTTCTCATGTCCCTAATTCCGAATATGAATCGAGAATCCTCAAGAACCCCGACAGTCTACGTTCCGAAGAACCCACAAGCCGACGTTCCGGAACGGTGATTGGATGGGCGCGCACGAATGGGCGGGCCTGGATGGGGAGGGCGGGCCGTCTGGGGGCCCTCGCGCATTCTCGTTATTCCGAAGCAATTTTCGCTTTCTAAACGATGTTCTGCACCGCGACTTGGGCATTGGCTTGTAGGGGCCCTATACCATATGCTTTAAAAGCTCAAGATCCTCAACTTAGGGTGGACGGTGCCTTTGAGGTTGCATTTGTTTCGAACGATTTTAGCAAGATATGTAAACAACTCACAGAAAGTACTGCAATACAAGCAATGCACGACATTGTTTTGGACTGCTTTCTGTCACCTGCCCCCTCTTTTTGTACCAGAACGTTATTCCTAAAAACGCCAATTAGAACGCAGAGGTAAATCATTACGGTACCCTCTATAACAAAATCCTGATTAAGAAGAGTTATAGCGGAATTATGATTTCATTCAGTTAACGAAGTGAATCTGTTAGGGTACGTGAAAACCTATAGTTAAAACACAGAGAGCCTAATACCGCAAGTCCACCATATTCATTTTTCTGACATTGTATTCCATTTTTTCGAGTATTCTGTGATTTCATTCGGCTTTGTTGCTGCGTTACAGCTGCCTAATTTGAATCCAGTTTTACATATGAAATGTTCAGAGCGATCAAAATGCTTAGCGAATTTGTTCAAGTAAAATTTTGTGATAAATGGTGAGCTTTTCGTGGGAATTTAATTTTTGCGACTTTTCAAAGCTTTTCTATTCACTTTTTGATTTCGTTATTTGTCGATATTCACATGCTGTGCACCACTCTTCTCTATACAAAGTCTATTTGGGATAGATATTTGACATCGCTCCTGATGACTTCGCTTTAATTTTGTGCAGTATCACTGAAGCTATATCCCACAGTGACGAACATAGATCGGTGATTTGCCCGCTACTGTAAACCTAAATTGAAGCTTCTATCTGCAGTACATAAGTGGTCTTCTGGACAGCACCGGCTTCTATTTTGCTCATAAAGCGCACAGCAAGTACGGGCACTAATCGCTGATCTATTGACAGTCCCTTTACTTGTAAATAGAAGTCTTCAGACGACTTGATTACATTGCACTTAAGACACTCTCTTACGAAAGTTATGAGTCGCGTCTTACTGAGTCCATACGTTGACAAGCTTTCACTGTGCTCATCAAGCATCTTAGAATATAGACAAGGCTAAGTGCGTCGCTGTTTGAGACATTGGTGTACAAAGACGGCACATCGAATGACTCTACGACGCAGTCTTGTCAAAATTGACTTGTCACAGTCGGTCAAGAAAACGTCTAATGTTTATCAGATGAGAGGGAATTTTTTCGAGAAGTGGGCTGACAATTTTGTCGAGAAACCATAATATTCTGTCAGTTGGGGCGTTGGTGTAACTGATAATTGACCGGATCTTGTAGTCTGTGGCAAGTGCGCAACGTGCATCGCAAGAGGGAAGCTTATGCGTTTTTATTAAACTGCAAAAAACGGGAAAAATTGGATGTTCGAGCTTGAGCCTGTTGAGAAATCGTTCATTGAGACCAGCTTTCTTCTCCAAGCGTTACCTAGACATGATTTAGACGTTTATAGTGAGAGATAAACCCTTTCTCACTTACGCGACGGTATACTCTAGTGTCTTAGAGATGAAGCTTGGTGATCTCGAGGTCGGCCGGTAGTAATCTACCCTACCTGGTGGCACATAGATGCCACCAACTTGGCACATATCACGGAAAGTTGCCAACTCTGGCGGCAGCTCGTGGATTGATTTAATATCCCAATCAGTTGCTTTACTGCAAATCTCATATGCTGAAAGAATGAAGTGAATTTATCCTGGGCTACTATGTCCCGCCCTCATTCGAATCCTTTTCTCGTTGCAGGCCGTCGAGCGACTAAGCCTGAATGACCCTTCTGTTGTGATAATGCCAGATTCAAGTCCAGCTCTTGGACGGGGATGGGAGGTGCATCAATTGCCATGCAAAGCATTCCTCACAAAATCATTCTAGGTAGGATTTCTTGGAGTATTTCACATGGAGGAATTTGGTGCCCGCCTAGATCAGGAATATGGAGCTAGCGTTATATTATCACAACCCTCTGGGAGTACAAGGCAATCGTCAAGGTAAGAACTTGCATGAAATTCTTGCGGTACTTCACAAGAGCTTTGGTGGACAACGAGACGATCCGTAAGAGGAGTTTTGGAGGAAAAAGCGAAATCATCATTTTGGACGCAAGCAAATTCCCTAAGAGGCTGATATTGAGAAATTTCTAGAGCTAGTAGTAAAGGCAAGGTCCTATTGTCCCACTAAATTCTCTTTTTTTGATCGTGCCTGCTCAATTAACATCACATCGTAGTAGGTTCGTATGATTATTCCCTCCGAAATCATTGGTGCAGTCAATGGTTTGTGATCCGAATGACGTGGAGAGCGTGGCGAAATAAGCTCTATCGATGAAGATAGGTTGATGATCATCTGGAGGTTACCGCTCGCTGAAGGTAAACTCAACCACTTTTACTCTCTATTTGGAACGATAGGCAAGATGATACATTGTAGTTGTTGTGACTTTTTTGAACTCCTTAAAAGGCTTGCTTCTGGTTACGCTTCTTTCGACTATGAGCAAGACGGCTATATTGAAACGAAGTTTATTAAACTAACTATCACAATAAATGGACGAGAGGTGAGACTTTGTCAGTTTTCATAGTTATCCGTTCATAGTTTTATTCTTTAAGTTCCAGAATTTTCTCAAATTATTCCCGCAGCAATGGCTTGGGAGCGTGCAAAGTTACTTGTTCAGCAATTGAAGAGGGAAATACCTCGACAGCAAAATGAAGTGACCATCAAAGGTACCCAGTTTTCATGACACTGTTATTTCAATAAAACTTCGATTTAGCATGCGTCGCTAACTCAACCAAAGCGTTATCTCATGTTTCCATACAGCCCATGAAACGAGATTTTACACAATTGCTCAAGGGAAATTTTGGTGGAAAAGGTAAGGTTGCTCATTGTTTGATACTGGACCCTTAGGCCTTGGGCAGAGTTCACGGGTTTCATCGTCGGGATTCCTCCAACAAAACCAACAGTTACGAGTCTATTGCATTCCATCTTGCATTTCGGTTGTGATAGTTAGTCACGATTAGTTGGAGAACTTAAACAACTGAAATGCAAGATAATAGGCATTCATAGACTCGTAACTGTTTGTTTTGTTGGAGGATTCCCAACGATGAAATCGCGTGAACTGTGCCCAAGGCCTTAAAAAATGAAAGTTTCCGAGACAAACTCTCAAAGCAGAGATTAGGAATTCAAAGCCATGAAGGCGATGGGACGAATGCAGACTACTCCACGAACAACTGGACCCCATGCGATATCGTGGCATCTCTAGAACGGTCAGCCCGCGGAAGTGGAGTAAATTAGCGATGTTTATGCTCATGCCTTAAGTTGATCAAGTTTACAATGCGCGGGTATGCCGACTCTCCAGAACTGAGCCTACCGGCCAGTAAATTTGTCGGGCAGTACATGAAATGGCTGTGATTGTCTCCGATATGCTTAGGTCCGAATCGAATATAAATTCGATCATTCGAATAAACCATTCGAATATATTCATATTCGGAATTCGACATTCGGAGTTCTTCCATTTTCGACTAATATTCGATACTCGAATAATTGAGTAGACGGGGTTTCGAATAAAATTTGAAACTCGAATAATCAAAAAACGGGGTTTCGAATAGATTTTATTCGAATGTTTTATATAAATGTTTATTCGAATTCGTATTCGAATGAACTCCGTATTCAAATTATTCCGACTTTGTTGCAGAGCCAACTGCTGAGTATCAAACTCACTTCGTCTGCGTTTTTTTTCTCGCAAAATTCGGCAATGCATCTTTTGCAACCGTTATGACCTGTGAACTGTATGGAGAGTCGCATTCTTCCGACTGCTTGACAGTAAAAAATTATATGTGGATTTTAATCGATGCTTTTTCGATCAGTGAGATTGTTCGCACTGTTATTGGCACCAAATCAGCAAAGAAGCTATCAAACTCAAGCTCATATTCAGAGTCCATATATTAAAAGTGTTTTGAAATGTCTGTTTTCCTTTCTTTGGATTGCTCATGCTTGTGGTACGCAAAGCCCACAGTGAAAGAGCCAACTTATGCAAGCAAGAGTGCCTAGTGAGCACTCTTGCTCGCATAAGTTATATTGCACAACTGCCTCTATTCGCTACCTTAGAGTTTTTTTTGCGAATTGGTGTATTTTGAGTAAAGGACATTCGCAGTTGTAGTGAAAGATTAGACGGTTTAGATCGCCGTACGCGATTTACCAGTTACGAGATGTCTTCAAATGTAACGCCAGCTTACCACAAATGTTTAGCGTGTACAACTTACTAAAAAGATAGAATGCCGTGCATTCCGTACTTTTAGAATAAGTTTTGGACATGACTATTGCCAAACCACGTCGCCACTGAAATGCCTGCAGCATGCCCAGGGCTAGGGGCAATCGTGCTCGCTTCGCGGGATAAACCACATGCCTTGGTCCACGATTAGCTTATGCCAAACAAGACGAAAGTCTCCGATGAACAGGCAATGTATCGTAGCATTTGTGGCATTTGATTACAAATGTGACCACCGTTGTTGCGGGGCTGGGAGTTGGTGCAAGAGGATAAGTGAGGGTGCTGATTATGGATAAAAACTTACTTTATCGATTTTGTCGATTTTTGGAAAATCTTGAGCTACGAGGTTGGGAGTTGGTACAGGGGGGGGGTAAATGAGGATGCTGATTAAAACCGGAATCTATTTTATCGATTTCAGAGATTTTCGGATTGAGCTAGAAGCTGGTATAGGGGATACGAGGGTACTGATTATGAATGGATCGGCTTCAGCCAGATATGTCAGCAAGTTTGAGATATGGTTGCTCTAGTTATTCGATAAATCATTCGAATATTTATTCGAAATTCGGCTCCCAATGTTCGAATATAATCGATATTCATTCATTCGATATTTTTGAATTTCAGAATTTATTCGGAATGCATTCATTCGAGAATTTTTGAACCTCGAATTTCTTCGATATTCGTTTATTTGAGATTTTTTATTTTCGAATTTTTTCGATATTCATTCATTCGATGAAAAATTTTCGAATTACTCAAGTATAGTCTCCGACTTGGCACCAAATTGCACGTGAGGTAGATCGATAACAGGTAAACCCTTTGAATTAATATAATCTAGCTTTTTGGAAATTTTTTCTTGTCAGTTGCACCAGAGCACTGAGGACGCTTTTCGCTTTTTCAAAATCGTGAAACTGATTTCCGCTCGCAATTTAGCGACAGGAGCCAATCCGCATTCGCGGCAATTCGCGCGTGACCGTCATCTTGCATTCGCTTGAGCTATATCTGTCTCTGCAAAAGCCTTGCTATTATAGGCATGGAACGACTAAACAAGAAACTCGGTCATCAGAAAAAGGACAAAGAGCGAATGAAGCAGATAGGTAACGTACAAATACCCAAGGAAGCGTTCATTAATGTGCTGAGAAATTGACAGATACGCGTATTTGTTTTGTGAATAGTTTTATTGGGACGCTTTCACTGCTGTTGATTTGTATATTTATTTTGTTCAACTGTTAGTTTTATCAAATAAAACACAAATACCAGTACAAATATCATATTAGGTTGTCTCTAAAGTTTCGTCCGTTTTTTCAACCTGTCATAAAAATAAGTGGAACAAAGATAGGGAAACGCTCTAAGCACTACCCGACGCATCTTTTCCTCCTCTTTCTAAGTGTTATAAGTGCAGATTACTCTTTTGCTCACTGAGATAAACGCCGAAATTTCGAACCCATGGTTTTTACTATGTCCAAGTTTGACAATTTTTCACAATCTTCATTTTCAACTTTTGGAAGACCTTTGATAGCCCTCAGATGTAGTAAGCAAAGGGCAATGCAGTGCAATTATTTGGCATATCTAGCTGGCTCTTCAATTTTTTCAAAGATAATTTTTTCAAAAGTCTTCACTTTTGCGAAGTTCTAAAATATAGAAAAGCCTCGAACACTAACAAATCATGGGATTTTGAAGCTTTCGAAAACCGATTACGATTATTTCTATTTTTACGAAGCAAGAGCGTTTACTGCTTCGAAATATAACATTCTGCATTTTACTTGTACACGCTGGGTTGGGGTCAAATTCAAGAATTATGGAAATTTTATCGCCAGGGACCCCGCAAATTGGAGAGGAAATACACTCACTGGAAAGAGGAGGAAAAGCTGCATCGAATAACACCTTAGTTGTGCGCCGTTTCATGATCTCTGGCTTTTGGCATCACCAAAAGTGGAATTTGATAGCATCAGAAAAATAATTCTAAAAAATTCTCAAGGCTGGCTATAGATGCCGCAAAATTGCATTATATTGCCCTTTGTTTGCTCTATCTAACTGTTGCCAAAGCTTTTTTGAAAGTCAAAAATAAAGATTGTGAAAAATTGCCAAACTTGGACATAGTAAAAACCATGGGTTCGAAATTTCGGCGTTTATCTCAGTGAACAAAAGATTAATCGGTATGGAGGCATGACAGTTAGAAAGAGAAGGAAAAGATGCGTCGGATTTTGCTTAGAGCGTTTCCCTATCTTCGTTCCACGCGTTTTTACGATAGGTTGAAAAAACGGACAAAACTTTCGGGACAACCTGGTATAACATCTCGTAACAAATCGTCGAACGCCAATTCCATCACAGTACTATCACCACTATTCTTTCTTTTTTGCTTTTGCAGTGGTGGGCGATCATGTCTTGTATTCCTAAATATTCTGGATTGTTGATTTTCCTCGACAAAAATATATAGTGAAATCACCGTCGAGTTCCATTGCGCATATGTTTGATAAGTGTGCTTTGCAAGCCACCGTGTATATCAGACTTTTGGTTTTTGTACATGGTACGGGTAGAGCTGGTGATGTTCGTGGCGTTTGCTTGAAGCTAACCTGAAACTACTTATTTGTTAAAAAAACAAGAAGTGGTTATTAGAAACCAAAATGTTTGGAGATGTTTAGGCAAAATTGCTTTTTGGACTTCAATAGTATGGGATACTCATTGGTAGGCCTTAGCTAAACCACTGTTTAAAGGAGAGCTCATTAAATTCATTCGCGACCGAGAAATTCGATTGTAGATTCAACCCAGGCGGTACATAGGTACGGTGGCAGCAAGTATACGGTCTGGGCTGAGGTTTGAAGTTCGCCTTTTCGGCCACGAATGAACTGTATGAGCTGCCGCTTGGACAAGAGCTCAGTTATGTGATATGATTCAATAAGAAGAGTCTGACCTTCTTCTTGATTCGTCTCCAGTTCAGCTGTGGCAAGCGAATCGGCGGCTTGGTCAAACTGCAAGATATCATTTTGTCAATTCACATTCATCTTTCAAAGGCAGTGGTTCGGGAGAACTGCGACGGGAGCTTCACAAGTGCTTGGCCTTTTGAATCCGCTGAATCTAATGCTGTGCATAAATGTCAAAAAAGTGCTTTTTGCGTTTCGCGGCCATGGACATTGCTGAGAAAGGGGAGAGATTCTCGCCAAAAACAGTGACTGGCTGTAAGATACTGTAACTCCACTCGTTTTGGTGGCAGTTGGCTGATGGTCAGGCAACCAATCGCGCTTCAGTTGAGAAAATCGCTTGTAAAGCCCCCCTCCCCAGAAATAGAGCCAAAAGAACATAAATAAGGGCTTTTTGGCTTTTCTAGCACAGTCCTGCACTCAGCGTATCCAAAAGGCCAAGGAGGAATAGAAAGCTCGCAGTTGCAATTTTCCCGAGCTGCCTTTAAGTGCTTTTTTAGCATCAAAAGAGGAGCTTACCCGCTGCCTATCGATGCCAGTGACAGTAAGCTGTTCCTTCAAACATTTTGAAAGCTTTCCGGTATTGGTATATCAAATTCAGGAAGACCTTTTTTAAGTCGGCGTTCGGCCATAGCAATGCGCCCGTTATTTCGAGCTGAAATATTCTTGTTTGCTATTTCAGCCATAAATGCGAATCATAGAAGTACACTCTAGAGGAGGCGTAGTTGAGAATGTTGGAAATTCGTTGGCGGTGATCATTATGAATGAGATAAATGCGCAATTGCTGTCTAGATCTCAAATTACCGAAAAGCAAACATTCTAAGCGATCACAAATCATATTGTACCAGCAGAAAGGGTTGACGTAGGGTTGACGTACTATAGGTTTTCTGATTCATATCCGTGTGCCCAGTGTTGAAACCAGCAGCCAGTATCCCTAACAACTCGTAGCGGAATGCGTCCTGAAAATGGGCCATTTATAGTTTTTCAAATTGTGTAGGGTCCATTCAATCGATCCATTTTTGAACCCATATCTCACCTGCTTTATCTCATTGACGTCGTCTTCACTAACGCCTTCATTCTGTTGTTTAGTCCGTTGCATTTGAGCAACGCGATATATTTTTCAACGAGACTTCGCGTCACGAACTGCAAAAAGAATTTTCTGGAAACGCTTAGACTATCTCATTCAATGCTATTTGCATATATGATATTACATTACGGTAAACTCAAGGTTCATTGACGTTATCACAAGACATTGTAGAATTTGTTAACTGTGCCCGGGCAAAAATTCGGATATTTGCGCAGTCTGTTGAATCGATCCCAATTGTCTTGACTAAAGAAAGCCAAAAATAGTTGGTCCTTTGAGTATAGTCTCTGGTACGATGTATCCGGACGTTGCTCTAGACTGTCATTTTCTCAAGAGATCTACTGTAGTGCAATTTTTCCGCAACTGCGGCTCGAGTGGGTGTGGTCAGCCAAATGGGCCAGTTTCAGCCTCTTTTAACTTAACTGTAGTTTCTACATCCTGTTGAGATTGATGACTCTCTGATAGTTGGACAAAGTTGCTGTGAATTTGAAACACGTTAATGAACGACACATAGCTACTTTTCTGCTGCCTCTTATCATATATCTTGTAATAGGAGGTGGTCATATTGCTTACATAGGTCCTACTTACATGAACTGTTTTGGCACACAGCCGGACTCTCTTGACAAAAGCATTGTATTTTAAATTCCAAAGGACTAAGAAAGTCTTATTTTGTCTACCGCCTCCGCAACTTTTATCTTTCGCTCAGGCAATATGCAGCTTTTGTGAGATTTTATCTGTCAAAAAGTACTATTAGATTGAGAAGGTGACAAAACAAACAGATATGAGCATAGCCCAGGCATGCCCAGTATTACCAGAGGTTTTGTGCACAAATCACAATCGCGATCAAAAAAACAAAATCAGAGTCACATCAGAATCACAAATCACATAAAAATCACAATCATTTCGAAAAAACTTTTTTTGATCATTACAGCTATGAAAAGCTTTTTTACAACAACATTAGTAAAACAAAATAATATATAGCTTATAGTAATTATAGGTTCGAGTTATAGCTTCACAAACATCATAAACAACCAATGCTTCACCTCTGCTTCGCAGAGGCTCGCACTGGCTCTACTGTCTAGGTTCTACTCATTTTTGCATAATGGCATTGAAACTCACCAAGCAGTGCGAGTAACACGAACAAAATGTAAACAACTACTCATTCCGAAAGCTTTTTTATGTGAAATCGGTGATTTTGCATGGCTGAGACATTTTACAGGAAAACAAACGCAAATTTTTCAATGTTCTTCATTTCCATATGGTCTTGACACTTGCAATAAGAACAGCAGCCACTGTGAGCTACATTTTTATGCAAAAATCTCGTCAAATACTCTAAGAAAACTTTGGCAAATTGAACATTTACGCAAACAATACCTTTTGGCGCCATTTTTGTAAAGTAATGGACTTCTGATCACTTTTTTGTGCCGAAGTTCATGGCTTGCACATTTACTTGGCATAAACATCCACGACTTTACAAAAAGTGGAATTACGGACCCAATTTTGCGGCCCAGATGCAAAGCGGATCCGTTTGACGCGCAGTTTCTGAGAGATCCACTCAACGAATCCGCTCGTACTTTTGCGTGTTGGACTTTCATGAGGGTAGCATGCGCTGTGCAAAATTTGAGCCCAGGAGGTTGGGTGGAACTCGCGCTATGATTTTCGTGACAGACAGACACACAGAAAAACGTAAACACTTTTAGCGCGTTATTATAGTAGAATAGTTGCAAGAGTCAGCAGCATCTTTTGCCATCCTTTCCTTTTATAGGAAGTTCAAGATATCAAATTATTCTGTAGGCCTCGCTAAGCTGCCTTTAAAGGCAGCGGCTCGGCAGAATTTCGTTTTCCATTCGTTAGCTTTTCGGAGCCTTCTCGCCATGAGGAACCCATATCTGGGCTTTCTGTGCATGAAAATGGCAAACATGCGCTTTTTCCGAAGCTTTTTAGGTCCGCATTCAGTGAAGATACGCTGGAATAAGCCGCGCCCCGCCTTTCTCGTTACGGGCTCCGCCTCCGCCCACTTCTCCACTGGCACCCAAAGTTTCGGAAAAGGCCATTTTCATGCGCTGAAAAGTTCAGATATGGGTTTCTCATGGCGAGAAGGCCCGAATAGGTAAAAAACTGAAAAGCGAAATTCTGCCGGAACGC